TCCGGGATGGTTTCCTCGCGTGATTGCCCCGGGGAGCCCGGTCCCGGCGGCGGACCCCGCCCCGGGCGGGAAGATGTGGGGTTTGTGCCCCGAGTCCTCGAAGCTCCTTGGCGTGGGGCCGGGTTTTCTTTCTTAAATCGGAGAATGCGAGGTCCTGGAAGACGGGGCGCCAGCGCCCGGGCGAGCACTGCCGAGGCGATCGATGCAAAATGACTGTTTAACGGGGACGACGGGCTGGAGGAAGGGCCGGCGGCGACCTATTGTGTAGCTGGGGAGTGAATGCAGCTGCAGAATTGTTGTTTTGTGTGTGTGTGTGTGTGTGTGTGTGTGTGTGTGTGTTTCCAGTGGGTAACGCAGGCTAGTGTTCTTGTGTGTGTGTGTGTGTGTGTGTGTGTGTGTGTTTCCAGTGGGTTGGGTAACGCAGGCTACGCTCCTAAGCGAATAGATGAACATTTTGCCTGGTTTTTTTCTTTCTTTTTTTAAAGCAATCAAAGCAAACAAACAAAAAAAAATAGACCTGGTACATGTCGATGTCTGAGTTTGCTTATTCCTATTTTTATTCTCTTGATGAAAAGTCACTCCGCTCCGAGCGAAAGGTGGGGCGGCAGATTGCAAGGGTCTCTCTTTTTCAAATGACTTGATCCTTGCAAGCTTGCGATGCTTCCTTGCTCCGTGTGCTGCTGGGGTTAAAACAAGCCCACGGGGAGGAAGGAGGATGCGGAGGGGGAGGGGAGGGGGGGGAAGTTGATGTGAGAGGGGTTGCGTTATGGGTACAGTATCCTAGATCCTCACTGATGAAACCCTTCCTGGGACTGCTTCCAGGATTGAGGAATCCAGCTCAGGGAATAGGACGTTGCAAGTTACAAACCATCTTGCATTTTTATTTTTCCCCGCCCCTCTGGGTGGTGTTTCTAAGTGACCCTCGGGCCGCTCTTTGAGGGCTCCCTGGCTTGGTAGCTGTTGCGTCAGTTTGCTGTTTTAAAACCGAAGAATCTCGGTGCACTTGACTGACGGAGGGAGACGCTAACGTTTGAAAAGTTGACCGACTTGTCTGGGAAACGCAAACTTCCAGGGAAAGGCAGAGAGAGGCAAGGGGCGTGTAAGGAGAGCCGCTCCCCAGCCTGGGAATGGTCTGTGCCTGTCAAGTTCATGGTCACCCCAGTTGTGCTCATCTGATCCTTTGTAATGTGCAAACACTTCTACTGAAACA